TTTCACTGAAACACTGTCTCTCCCTCTTTGATACCATCAGAGTATAGATATACTCTGATGGTATCAAGCAGTAAACGCGATTTAGTAGTTAAAAACAGGGTGTGTGAAAGTAAATAGATATCCACTTATAAATAGTTTCTTTTTTGGGATACAAATGTTCTTTTCCTTATTTTAAAAGAATTGAAATGTAGTGAGAAGTTCATATCTGAAATTGGGGTAATTTTGAAACAGGTGATTTTGCATCAAATTACAACAACAATAGTGCTTTTAATGTGAGTTAGAAGTTCAAAATTGGCTTTAAAAGGCTACCAAATTTTTGTGGCCATTCAATTGTCCATTGTTTCATCTAGATGACTACTTAATCATGTACTTGTCCCATTTTGTATCTCCACCACTAGTTGTGAATACTTGGGCTCAGTACTGTGATAATTGGGCCCAAAGAATGTGCAACCTTGTAACTTGTAGCTTTTCATGCAACCCAGAGTTTAAAGTAGTGAGTTATCTTTCCGCTAATGATAATTTAAGTTGAACTATTTTTTTTATAGAAAAATTATCTAATTACACAAATATTAATCCATTTTATAGTTTGACATAATTACATATTGTTTACTAATTAATAATTTTGTCAAGATTTCAAGTCAGAACGATATACCATTCTTTCAGATTTCAAGTCAGATATATGTATCATAGATACTAGATAGAAAGGCGAGCGAGAGAGTCCACATGTATATTATGATACCAGATACATGAATCTTTGATACTACATATATAGAAAGAGAGACGAACGAAAGAGTCAGTGTATTGCATATACATGCAAATTAAGATCGATGCAATGTATTTGGAAAATTATACCTAATTTGACATGCATATATTTGAAATATAAGAATGTCTCAGATACATATATTTGACAAAATAATATGATATGAAAGATAATTTCAAAAACTAAATTGAAAACACTCCATTAGGCCTTAAACTAATAAAATTTATATCGTTTTGCTCATTATTTAACGACATCAATTTTGCTACTTATAATCAATCTCTCCTTTTCATCATATGAATAATATTAACAAACTATATTTGTTGTTATCCACGTAGCACAAAGGTATTGGCATTGTGTAAAATAATGTATATGTATGGCTGTATATAAGACCGAACTTAGATGACGTTCTGTGTAGAATGTACCTTTTTCGTGTCACTCAATTGCATAAATCAGAATTTGAGTGTCCACATCATAAATTATATTCTGTTCCAAATAATTCTATTTTTGCCATTGTATTTTCAACATTTGGCACCTTGAGTTTGATGTCAATTATGGCGACAAAGACCAAATATATCCTACTGTTCATACAAAATACAATTCTGGAAATTACTTTCAAATAGTTACAGTTATGTACACATTATATGATGATTGATTTGTATTATGATGTACACTGACCAAATAAATGATGATGTATCAGCACTTATGACGACCACGTAGATTTTTCTTTAGTTAATAATTGAAAAACTTGTTAAAAGTAAAATAGTCAATACGTACCACACAAAATGGAAAAATAATTCCAAATTACGTACTTACGTGGATTGTCAATTCAACGTGTTGAATGAGAAATGTATCATGTTGGAAATTAAAAGGAAAAAATGTCATCAGTTACGTCGACAAAAATCGATTGTTGCGGAAGTTTTTGGTAATTGCAATTACCTACTTCGTCTACTCCAATATAAATGAATTGTTGATATGGTATTAAAATAGATATGGAGCTATTATATTCAAGTTTTACCGCCACATATTGTAATAAAATAATTTTCAATACTTGACTCGAAATTGAAAAAAAAAAAAGAGCAACTTTCACATATAGCAAACAAAAAAATCATATTTGTATGTTATAGCAAAGTTTGCATAATTGCGCTCTATAGCAAACATATATATGTATAATTTGCTATACATATACAATTGAAAACTGTCTATTTCGCTATACATATATACAAAAAAAAAGCAATTAAATCAAATAAGAGGATGCACCAAACATTTTCTCTAAAAAAAAATCAAATAAGAGGATGCACTAAACATTTTCTCTAACTACCTTAAACTATTAATTCCAGTTCAACTAAAATCAATCAATTTATGTGCACAAAGGATCATCTTTCAACTGTGCACTTTTCAACAGAACAAATCCCTTAATAATTTCTGAGCATCTTCACGAGCAAACTTGCATGTGTTAGAGCATGTGACAAACTCATCTAAAAATTTAATATGTTAAATAAAATATATTTTTATTTACTTAATTATATTCTTAACATATTTCATCATGTGTGGGTCTGATTTTTTTCATTATTCAAGCACATAATATTTTTTATTTATTTATAATACGTAGTCATGAGATTTGATCTTAGAATCATTGTCTGCTCTAATACCGCGAGTTTATCTTCTCTTCTTTGTTCATATTCCAAAAAAAGAAATCAAAACATCTCATCTAAAATTTTAAATTATGATAAAGACATATTTTTATTTATTTAATTATATTTTCAATGACACGAAAGTAGGGTTGAATTTATAATAATTAATTAAAATTGACAATACGAAAATAATTGTGCAAGATTCTTACCTAATCCCATTATTCTGTACTAGGTTATGATGCTACACCCTGAGATTTTTAAAACCTTTTCCTTTTATAACAAGAAGTTGAAGTTCCATCCAAAAGATAGCTACTGTTAGACTATTTTTTTTTTCCATTTCTTAGTCGATTTAATCCAATTGGCTAGTTTAATAACATGGTACATGCCTACCTGTTGTGTTCTGCGTGTGAAATGCAAAGATGCCCAAATAAATTCTATTACTATAGCACTACTAAAAACTCTAGGAAAAGAATGATTCAGATTTAATATATCGTGGAAAAATTGATCTTTTCCTTCGGTTTTACTAATTTTTAATTTTCACGTGAAACCACGGAGACTATTGGTATGCCATGTAGGGGTGTGAAAAATCGAATCGAAAAAAGTATTATTGGTTTATTGTTATTGGGTTAACGGTTATTTAATGGTTTTATAAAAAAAATTATTGAGTTATCGATTCGATATTGATTTTTTAATATTGGGTTATTGAGTTAACCGATAACCCATTAAGAATATAATAATTCACTATTTTAATTTTTAGTCATACATAAATATCAAACAAAAAATATTAATATAATCACTATATTAGACTTTAACTATAAGGACCCTACACAATTAACATTACTTAATTAACTCTGCTCTCTGCATTTATCTTTTAGGTTTTAGTATTACTTTAGTCTTTTTTAGGCAACTACTAGGATTGTTAATTAATGAGTATTTATTTGCTATACTTTTACTACACTAAGCAGAATCTTTGTACTCAATGAGTAATTAGATTTCTCTCCTTTTTATTAAATTGTTGGACAAGTCATATATTTGTTTTGAAATCATTTTCTTATTGGTTAAACCGAAAATCGAACCGTTAAAAACCAAAACCGATAACAAATATCTTCTTGGTTTGATTATCGGTTTAGCATACTTAAAAACCGAAAACCGATAAACCGAACCGACCGATACACACCCTATGCCCCATCAATTTTTTTCGCGAAATAAAATTAATAAAATCGATGGACATTGTCGGATTTAATAATTTAAAAAAAAAAAAAAAAAGGTGGGGGAAGAACACTAAATTTTTAATTAGAACAAAGAGACATGACGTTTTTCTTATCTAATATTCATCATCAATAGAATAAAGTGCTAAAAGTAACAACCTAAGTAGGATCAACGTAAATTAAGGAATTGTGGATTGTGAAACAGTGTGCATCACACCTTTCTGATTGGTGCATGATTGGTGTTAGCGGGACCTTCTCATGCCTTATTAGGGAATTATTCCTACAAAAATTAATATTATTAAGTCACCTAAAAAATAATTATTTACAAAATGTAACTCGTAAAGATAATATATCATTTGCTACATAAGATTAAAGTACACTGATGTTGTAGAAGTTGTATACAACACCATTATATATAAGTTAAATTTGTTATATTTATGAAATGTGTTTGTATATATAAGTCAAATTCATTTATCAATGGTAAGCGAGGTCCTAATTATTAGAAACAGCAGATGAAAAGGAAACACATTGCATCTACTTTTTTAGTCAAGCAAAGATTTGGATACTTGTTGAATGTTGATAAATCATATTCTTGCAAGCATTACCACTCTTCTCAAAATATATTCTCTTAATATAGTTTCTCGTTGGAAATCAAACAAAATGAAATGGACTTCAAAATTAGTTCATGATTTTGTTATAAATAAAAGTACATAAAAATTAGCTCATGATTTTGTTATATTATCCTTTTCTTGATTTCTCTTCCATTGCCACGTGATCCTTCGAGAATCTTTTTTTTTTCTTCAATTTATATATACATTGACTGTACAGGTGGAAAAAATAAATACTACACTACTAAATATAGTTTAACATGTTCAAGCATCAAATAACTAATTAATTCATTTACCATAGACCACTATTATTTACATGACTTCATATTGTTAAAAATAATTTACACTTTGAATGTATAAAAATTAAGACTCTTTCAAAATTGGAGAGAAGAGTGCTGATTAAGTGTGAATTCTTTATTATTTAATATTTAAGAATTAATAATCATCTAATATCCAAAATAGAAAGAGTTCCTCACTTGTTGACACACTTATACAGGGATTACACATTGGTTTGGTGGGGGTCAAATGTCAACCTATGACAAGCGAGAAACAGACATTTCACAATTTGTTACCAATATTATTCATCCCTTTGATTATTGCTATTTTCTCCTTCTCAAATTTACGTGATATAATTAAAATTTTAATAATTCATTAAAAAAAAAAATTGAATTATTTTATGTATGCTTTAAATTTTTTAAATTGTTAATTATTAAAAATTTAGAAGTTTGAATCTGAAAATTTCATATGGGGTCAGAAGAAATCAATAGTACTAGTACTATATAGTATAAACTGTAGTGCTCCATTTTAACCCACCGAGCAAGAAAAACGTCTTTCTTCAATTTCATTTTCCTTATTCCCCTGTTTCCCTAATTTAACCAGAATATCAACCTTCCAAGGCTCTCTTTATAGATTTCAACAAAACTCAGAATTGCTACTAAATATATACGATTTCTCACTGATCATGGATAGTACTTGTGATAATATATATAGCAGTGCTGGTCTTGATTTAGGATTAGGCTTTTCATCAATGGGGAATCAAACATCAAAAAAACACGGACAAGTAGCTGCAGTTAAATTCGATCTCGGTTTTGAGCCCTCTCTGAATTTAAGCCTTTCTTCCGGTGATCATCAGATGGTAGATCTGAAGACGGAAAATAAGGATCAATTATCTGTTGCTTCGTCGTATTCAAATGGCAGTGTGAAAAGGGAAAGAGATATTGGTAGTGAGGTGACAGAAGTAGAAAGAGTGATTTCTTGTAGAGTAAATCATGATGAAGATTATTATGAAGATGATGATGCTTCAAATGGAAAGAAGAAACTTAGGCTCACCAAAGTACAATCTGCTCTGTTAGAGGAAAGCTTCAAGAAACAGAGCACTCTTAATCCTGTAAGCTATCCATCCTTTTTCTCGCCAGATCATTTCATTTAAAAGTTTAAATCGTTCTTTCATGAGTCAAACACATGACTGATCGTGAGAATTGAAATTTCAAAAATTTCTAATACTCTGATACCATATGAAAGTTGCGAGTTGTCACTATATCTTATATTTTCTCCATCTCAATTTACGTAATCCTACCCAAATTTGATTTAATTTGTATAGATATTGGATTTTCTAAATGACCAAAACTGATGATTCACAATTTTCGAATAATTCAGAAGCAAAAACAGCACTTAGCAAGGAAGCTTAACGTAAGGCCTCGTCAAGTTGAAGTTTGGTTCCAGAATAGAAGAGCAAGGTTTGATATCTTATTCCTTAATATCCACGCATACTCAACGATACATATTTTATATATATATTTAATAGATTTCTTAATATAAATACGTAAAAATCACTTACACAATAAATTATGAATCGAATTAAATTAGATGTTTATGGTTTTTACAGAACGAAGTTGAAGCAAACAGAGGTGGATTGCGAGTTTTTAAAGAAATGTTGTGAGACACTAACAGATGAAAACAGGAAGCTTTACAAAGAATTGCAAGAACTGAAAGCTTTAAAAGTTGGGCAGCCGTTGTACATGAAGCTGCCGGCTGCAGCCACCCTCACTGTGTGTCCTTCCTGCGAAAGAGCCGGCGCCGCCCAAAACTCAACCAAGCCTCATCACCGCTACGGCTCCTTTACCAATCCCTCCGCAGCTTGTTAATTAATTAGTATTCAAATTGTCTTGTTGATTAATTAAATTCTCAGGAAATCTCCCAAAACTTATTAAGATTTTTTTTTTTTGGTTAAGGGTTTAATTTGTACTATAATGAAATGACTTGTATAGTTCATTTGTTAATTAGAGGTTTGCTAATTAATCATTAATCAATATTTTATTTACTCATTTGTTTCTTTAATTTGTCGTAGTACAACTATGTAAATTGTTAAGAAATATACTTATTTTTGGTTATCTGTGGTTCTTCATCTCCTGATCATTTTCAAATTACTTGAGATATTATTTTGAGTTTAGCTTAATAATATATACTGAGATTCGTAAAGAACTTTACGATTATCAATTCAATAAACAGGGCCGGATCCGTGTGGATATCCAAAATCTCAGTAATCTTTTTCGAAATTCTACAACAACAACAACATGCCCAGTGAGATCCCACTAGGTGGGGTCTGGGGAGGGTAAATTGTACGCAGACCTTGCCACTACCTCGTGGAGGTAGAGAGGCTGTTTCCGGGAGACCCTCAGCTCAAGAACAACAAATCTAAGTGACAGGAGATGGGAACCCATTAACAGCTGGAAGGATAACGGCACTTGTTTTTGTATATTCTGAAATACCTTTATTAGAACCATGAAATTAAAATTTTGAATTCACCTCTGGATTATAATTAAAAATGATTACTTTATTTTACAGATTATCGAATATATATGTTTAAAAATCATGTAGGTGTGTTGCCTGTTGGTGTTGGTCCATTTAATCTGATAATACCAAAAAGTTGGTACATATACAGATATACTATTAAATCTCAATGTATACATGAAATGCAGTTTCCTGCGTCATTGTATGTAAATTTCTTTTCTTCTAATTTATGTGGGTTTTCTTTATTTATTTATAAAATAATATCATTTTTCTTTATTTAAAATATAAATTTATTTTCTTCTATGATTTTATTTTGATTCATAAATTTTAAGAGTTTCTCTTTATTTTTTAAATTACAAATTGATTAAACAACATTATATAAATTAAAATGAAGAAAATAATACAATTAATATGCATGATCTAGTTCTTCTCTCTCTCTATATATATATAAGAAAAAGGAGATTATAAAGTAATGTTGTCTAATTAGGTAGTCTTTATACCTTAATTAACGAAACAAAAAGATAATGATTTGGATTGTTGAACAAGGAGAGGTTAGTCATGATAGAGATGATGTGTATGTGGAAAGCCAAAGGTAGGAGTCAGCTCACGTGCATTTGTCTCTATTTTTTTTAGTTTTTATTTATTGAGAAAGTATCAACATGAAAAAGTGAAGGAGACATGGCCTCCCATATAATGGGCGTATAGAGATTAATTTGACATCGTCATAAAAATACATAAACTTTAAATTTTGACTCCTTTTATGTGCGTACATATACAGTCTCATTGGTTGATAAGTAGGCCAAATATATATAGTTAAGTTATGATGAATCGTCTGAACATGTTTTGTAGTGCAATGGAATATGAAGTGTTTTTTTCCCATAGGCCACAATAGGATAGGGACGAAGAGAGGTGGATACCGAACATCCAGTCAGAAGAAATAGCTTCGTCAACAGCGCACGCAAGCCGCTCAAGATATACATGCTTTACATTTTAAGTAAATTAACTTCACAAAAAGTCATGGGAGTGAATGTGAAGAGAGATTTTGAGGAGATCTATGTGGGACGCACATATCATGTGATATTGAAAAGATCACACGTACCCCATGCCTAGCAAGTTTCTCATAAGTTACATTATGAACATGGAGACTAATTGTATCAGTATCACAACCTACTACTACCTCTTTGATGTATCATTTGCAACCACTGCTTATTGAGATGTTACAAATTGCTTGTTATTTTCATATCATCAACATGGTCCACATCTTATCCTGTTTTCTTTTCTACCCCACTTTTTTTTAATGGTTGATTTTTCTGATGATCACTCAATTAATATTGATCTCTTTGTTTTAATTTATGTGTTAATATACATTTTTTCTAGTTCATTTTATTTAAAAAAATATTATTATTTTTTGCAATTCTTTAAGATTATAGAATTGATACGTTATATCACTTATATGTATTTTTTAGATAAGATCATAAAATTCAAAATTCTTCTTTATTTTTTTAAACTTCATGTCAAGTTAAAACAATAAAAATAAATTGAAACAAAGAAAGTAGTTATCATCTCATAAAATCACTTTTTTTTATTGAAGAAAATTAGACTCAAAAAAAATAAATTGAGATAATAACAATTAGTTGAGTGACCACCTAAAAATCAACCTCTCTTTTTTTAATACACATTTATTTTGGTACGTTGGACATGGATAGATAGTTCAGAAATGAAATTAGTACTTTCTTATCTCTTTTTGGTTATTAATTCTTATAAATGGGTTATACTAAAATTAATAATTAATATCACCATAAGTTATTCCAGTCAAAACATAAAATAATAATATCATAATCAATTATTCTAAGATAAAAATAACAAAAATACCTCTAATAAACATGGTGGGAGTCAAGTCTACCCCTACTCCCTCCTCACACACCAATGACTTAAAACCATTTGGTGATGACTTAACTAAAAAAATAATTTTTTTTCTACTAAATTAAATGAAAAGTTTTTGTAAACAAATAACTTCTTACAAAGTATGCAATATATATTATTTTTAACACAATAAATAAAACATTCAATTAAAAAGCAATATAAAATTAATTAATCTTAATATAACTAATATCAGTATACCTAATTATAGGACTACTAAATAATTCAAAAAAATATCTTAAGAGACACGTTATCATGATTGGTCAGAGGCAAGAGTCCTAAGTTGAATCATTGGAGGATCTTTCATGGTCTAACTTTATGGTCCACTTTATAATTCATTATGAATTTGCCTAGGATATATTGTCCATGTTATTTGGTTTCCACTTTTAAAAGAAAATGAAACAAACTAAATAAATATTTAAAATTTGTGAGTAACTAGGAAGAAAATGGAATGATGAGTGACTTTCCTAGAAGCTGCAACTTTCTGCTATTCTTATCATTCATCATCATGAATTTCATCACCTTCCCTATCTTTTACTACTTTTTTCCCTTTTCACACTGCTGTAGACGGTGAATTTTTATTGATAAATTCATATTAAATTTTGGATTAATCCATAAATTCATGATATATTGACCAAGTCAAATTACTGATTAATAAAGTCGGATTAATAATTAAGTCAAAATATATGACTTAAATAAAGTCCAAATCACATTTGGGTCAGTCCATTAAGTTGACAAGACAAGCCCAATTCATATTCAGGTCTTCATAAGACCAGAAGAAAGGAGGAAGAAAAGAAGAAGACACATAGAAATACATAGAGAATCCTTGCTCTTCAGTGGTGATCTGCAAGTCTTCCGCATACAAAGAAGTCTTCGCTCCAAGTGTTGAGCCGCAAGTACAAAGAAGTCTTCGCTCCAAAAGTTGAGCCGCAAGTATTCCATCAAATCAAGAACATCATTGAAGAGAAGAATCAGGGGATTACATATCTTTTCTTAAAGATTTTATAAAGATTGTAACCTTCGCATAAATTCAAATACAAATATTGTTGTTTGCTTGCTATTTTCCTTTCCTGTTTGCTGTATTTCAGGATTGAAACTTTAGACGCTTACAAATTGGCACGCCCAGTGGGACAATCTTTACCTCTCATCTCTTCTCTTCAAGAAAATCAAAGTTCAAAAACGCCGAGATGACTTTTAAGAAGATCAACTCAAAATCTGCATCTAAATCTGGATCTGCATCTGCATCTGTATCCACATCTGCATCTGCATTTAAATCTGGATCTGCATCTGTATCCACATCTGCATCTTCATCTGCAAAAACTAATGGATCCAAATTCTGCATTGCTGAGGGAAACATCCTTGATATTACTACGGGAAACATGAGACCTGTCACAAGGAACCAAGCCAAATTGCTACAACAACAAGCCTCCCGAGTGTCGTCCAAATCTGCTATTGTCTTTGGTTCATCTCCAAAAAGGGTGTAAAAATCTCCTGCAAAAGCCGCAAAAGAAGACATCGCTGAAATGGTCGAGAGGTTTCTTGCCCAATTGAGCTTATCTACATCCAAAAAGTCGTTCGCTTCAGTCGACAATGATGTCTTAAGCATAAGATCTACCCCGTACAACATGTTTGCAACTCATGTTTGGGAAAATCAATGTTATTCTCTATCACCTACGATGGTAATGCACACGATGGTGGTCGAAACTTCCACAATAGAAGAACAACTTGCAAATGTGACAAAAGCAGTTAAAAGCCTATCAACGTACATCAAAGGTCAAGACGTCCAAATTACCAAGTTGACAAACATGATGGAGAATATAGAGAAAAGAAAATCCACTCAATTATGTGAAAATCTTCATGAAACTCAGGAGAAAAGAGAGTCTTTCACAAAATAAGAAACAATCATCGAGGAGTTTCAAGTGTTTGCCGAAGGTCTGATTCATGTTGACAAATTGAAGGATTTCATCAAAGAGGCTATCAAAGATACATATGAGTCCACGTCTAAGTCTTCTCTCACATATGTAAAGCCGTATTCCCAAAGAATTGATGACCTAAAAATACATGCTGGTTATCAACCTCCTAAGTTGCAGCAATTCGACGGCAATGGAAATCCAAAACAACACATAGCACACTTCATTGAACCCTGCAACAATGTTGGAACATACGGTGATTACCTCGTCAAACAGTTTGTCCGCTCCCTTAAGGGCGATGCTTTCGATTGGTACACGGACCTTGAGTCTGGTTCCATTGATAGTTGGAAACAAATGGAGGAAGAATTCTTCAATCGTTTCTATAGCACAAGGCGCGTTGTGAGCATGATAGAGATTGCAAACACCCGTCAAAGAAATGATGAACAAGTCATTGACTTCATAAATCGTTGGAGAAGCTTGAGCCTTAACTGCAAAGATCTCCTTAGTGAAACTTCTGGGATCGAAATATGCATCCAAGGTATGCATTGGGGTCTTCGTTACATATTGCAAGGCATAAAGCCTAAAACGTTTGAAGAACTAGCAATGTGTGCTCATGATATGGAACTGAGTATGACTTCAAATGGAGATGAGGAGTTGTCCAACTTCGAAACTTACAAAGAAAATATAATCGACATTGAGGATGAGGACAAGTTTTCA